CTTTATTACTACTTATATTCAGTCTAATACAAACTTATTTAAAAATTTTCTTTTACTGCTCTACCATATTAAAAAAGTCATTATAAAATATATTTATTGCCATTTTCCGTCCAAGCTAATCTCTAATATCGCGACAGAGTCAAATCTATTCACACTCGGACAGTTTTAATTCCGTCTAAAGCGATAAATTTTGCAAATTTTAATCCTTTTATCGCATGGAACCATTTTGCTTTTTGTTGGACACGCAGTTCAAAAGGGTAGCTTTAACCTTTAAGCTTTAGGTGGGGACTATGGGGCAAAGTGGATCTAACGTTTTATGATGCGTATCCATTACGTCCCAAACTATATAAATTGCCGACTTGTGATTCTAGCAAAGTATGTGCACGATGCTTTAAAACAACAGTACTTTTATAATAACCGGAACGGTTAACCGGAAACCGGAGCGGTTGTATTATTTTATATATTAACTAACCGGTTTTGCTTTTGGAATTCTCAAATGTTTATAAAATTTTGAAAAATTTTCTTGCAAAGATCGTAATCTTGAAGTTCCACCAAGTGCTAATAATTAAGACTATAAATACCAGAATAATTTTAATTATGTAATATTAAGGTGGAAAAGTGTTACAAGCAACGAGAAAAGCAGCCCTACTATTAGCAAAATGCTAAAATGCTCTCTACGCGGTTCCTACCCTGAAAATCATCATGATTTACATAATAATAAGAAGAATTAAGAATAGAATAGAAACATTTATTACCAGTAAACTTACAATATAAAATATAAATGACATATACAAAAAGTGTCCCACACCCGGCAAAAGGAACCGGCTCAGCGGATGCTGTGAGTGTCCCAGCGCAATGTGAACAGCTGCACAGCGCTGGTTTTCAGCCAGTCCCTCTCTTACAAAACAACCAAAGTGCAGGGTACCACTGTACATTACTTTTTACATTACAGGTTAATATTACAGGTTTTTTAAGGGTACAGTAGTTGCGGTTTTAGAACTATTATTCTTGGAGAATTCGAGCCAATAGGCTAACTGACCTGACTTCATTCCCAACTATCTTCTCTCACTATACACCCCGGCGCATACCGATATTACAGGTGTGGTTACGATTCCACTTTCATCTCTTAAAAAAAAGTACGCAATACACAACTATTTAACTTCTCATCTAAATAGAATAAAACAAAATCTGTCTATGTATTTGTATGAAACCTCAAAGCGGCTTTATACATATTATTGGGAACATTTTAGTATTAATAATAGTACTGAGTGTGATCAAAATAGAAAAATTATCAGTCTCTCAAGTAAATTGTAAAGATATATATATATAAGATTTTGGACTGATAAAAAAGCCAGTCAAGTACGTATCCTCGTCATCATCATCAAATCATCAAGTAAATTTTTTTTTGTAAAATATCATAACGACATAGTTACGGTTTTCGGATTTTTTACTTGTATTATATGATATTGCTTCTTGTAAAATTTCATGATTCTAACTCAACGGGTAGGCAGTTAAGTATAAGTAAGTAAGTGTAAGTATCCCTATAAGTTTTGGTTCCCTTTGCGAATGTCAAATTATGCGATATGAATAGAACATAAAGAACCGTATCTTTTAAATGCGTCGATCTAGAAGCTTGATTTTTTCACTGCTTTAAGAGATTGCAGACTTGAGTGACTTGAGTTTTCCTTTGAAAACAGCAATTTTAATGTGACAAACTGAATACGAGACAATCGGGAACCGTATTCAAGAATATGTTGTAGATGGAGCAAAACCCCTTAAAATTGTCATACAACATAGCCTCAGATATGTCTTTTCAAGTAGTTATAAACTCCATTTGTATCTTAGGATCGGCACCAGATAAATCTGGAGTGGACACGGCTCACCCGGTCTACTTTATAGAGGAGCAGACTTTACCAATTGCTTAATTAATTATCAAAGTAGCTTTAATACTGAAGAAGATATAACACATATGAACAAAAAAGAGTGAATCGAGAAACTTCTCTTACTTACAACTTGAGGAGGAAAACGAGCAAGTTTGTTTTAAATCAATCCTTAAAGTTGGTGCAAACTAAGTCGCGGGCAGAAGCTAGGAATGTATAATCGTATCTTACGAATTAATGGTTTTCCTACATCGGATCGACATGCTAAATGTGTCTATGGACTCGAATCATTGAATGGGTAATTTAAATTTGCTAATGTAAATTTGGAGTGGTCAGAGCGTTTTGTACCCAAACGGAGATTAATCAGTTGAGATTTTTGTGTTACATAATACGGCATTTTGGTCGCTTAGTTAAAAAACTGACAATTTACATTAGGTATTTCAATCGTGACGATGATCAGTCACACACCAATAAATGACGAGCTGTTTCGCAGACACGTTATATTGAAAACATTTGAATTTAAAAATCCGAATTGTGTAAGTACTAAAAACGACTTAATTTACTTAGAAGTATTAAGTAAATTAAGTGGATTTTGGTTAATCTATTATATATTAGCCGAAAAGGTGTATTTTGTTTTTTTTTTTTAATGGCGGGGCTACCAATCCATTGTCATGGAATGGTAGCCCCGCCTGCGCTAACGGTATATGCTGGCGGAACACCAATGAGGGATGAAAGGTAGATGAAAGGCAGGTCAGTTAGCCCGTCGTGAAGAATACACCAGGAATTTAGCACGATGATTTCCAAAGGGACCTCGTGGTAGTCGTAGATTATATATGCCTTTTCGGTCCAATAAATAAAATGTCACACTTTTTTTTTTTATTTTGCTCATAGGGAGTTTAAGTTTAGGCCTATGAGTAAGGGACTTTTACTACCAATACCAACTAAGACCATTATATTACATTTAAGATAGTAGATGCATCATTGATTCTTAAGAAGTAGCTTCTATCAAACTGAATTGTATTAGAAGCGAGACATTAATTCTAACTTCCAATAGATTTTCTTTGGCAGTAACCGGACACAATCCAACATTCTTATGTGAACTTTGTACTGTCGATTCAGTACAGTCGGAAGCCTAGTTAATAATAAACTTGCAACATAATATTTAGCTTTAAAAGTACTAAAATCGCAACTTTGTTAAGTATAAATCGAAGAAGCAATATAATTTCTCCATTTATGGTTGTAACGTACAGAAATGTATGTGGAGATCTACTCATGGAAGTATTCTATAGGAAATAAAGTATGTTCAGTCGTAACCATGACGTTGATTTATCTATTACTATTAGAGGTGCGTAATATATAGCAATATATATATATATATATATATATATATATATATTGCTATATCGACCAATATGGACGATATCGGATCGGTAATTAACATACTGTAGTTCTTACATTTCATCAAATGGTTTAATATATACCAAAACATATAAAATAGTCAATTTTAATTATAAACGTTAAAATTTACTTGAATTTTTTTATATTAAATTATAATACAGACAAAGAGTTGAAATAGTACGAGCCCCACATCCCACATAAACCGTGAGTTACATGCAATTATATCATCAAAACTCTCGTAAAAACGCTATAAATGGCGTTTATTCAAATCGTCACGCATGAATGCCTATAAACGTTCATATTTACGATTATGGTTCAGCTTGTGATGTTATGAATACTGTAACTGTCATATGAATACGAAACTATGAGCTTGAATATGTTAAATGGGGTGAGTGGTGGCTCAGTGAATTGTAAAGAGTTGAATTTCATACAATTCTTTGGAGCAACTTTAATGTAGTCAACTTTGGAATACCCAAAAGACGCCCCGCCGAAGTTTTTACGGATTTAGTTTCGTTCCTAAATGTTCCTAAAGGAACTTCTTTATATTGAAACTTCTGTAAGTATTAGTCTCGACCGACTTAAAAAAAAATTTGGCTTGTAAGTTTCACAAACACACACACACACACATACACACACAGTTTTTTCTGTAATTTCACTTCAATAATATAAATAAAAAATAGATACTTTCTGCAGGCAACATAGACTACTCCTATTTTGGTATCTTCTTAGAAAATTTCAATAAATAATTAATGCCTATTATTTGCAATACTTGCAATGACAATATTTTTTATATAAATCGTTATTAATATTATGTGAAAGTGAATTTGTTTGTTTATCTTTGGCTTCGAAATGCTTCAATCAGCCATTTAAAAATTGTATCTGCCCGTCATGAATTTCAAAGGATAGACTTTTATCCCGGTCAATTAAGATGTCCCAGTCATACGAAAGAAGTTATAGTATTAATTATTGAATAAATACAAGATGTATGTTAGTCTTTTAAATATTTAGATGTTGTGTAAATGAATATTATCTTACATTTATAATTATCATAGATTATGTAAAAGGAACTGTGAAACATACAGAGATGGAGTAAAAGTTGATTAAAGATATCTTTGCTCAAATCCAAAACCTTTTCTTGCCTTTATACTAGTATATCAATGTCAATCATACGTCAAAAGGAATAAAGTGAATTTGCTCACGTGAAATGAAAGCATTTTGGGGGAAGACTAACTGTACAAGACTGCGTTCAATCAGCTTTTTGTCACTTCACTCAGATTGGAGTATTATTTCAATGTGTCCTTATAAAATAAGCCTTATTTTTAGCTAGTAACTGGCCTAAAATTTTAAAAGCCATTAGATTTTTACGCGACTTAAAAAAAGAAAAGGTTTCAATTTGTTTATAATTTTTTATATGTATGTTTGCCAATTACAAACCGATATCAATAATTCTTTTTATAACTTATTTACTTTCGGCGATGTGTAATCTTTCCGTCAGTTTATTTGCTATTTGAAATTGTATAAAAATATAAACACAGGGCGACATAATATAAACACAGTGAGGCTTTTTAAAAAACAAAGAAAATAAATTTTCTTCATTAACATTTTATCTAATATGAATATTTAGTACTATTATTTATACTGTGACATTATAAAGTTTTATTCGATTTTTCATCCGAAGTTTTAGCTTAGTAAAGATTTAATTATATAAAGTATAATACATACCCAACACGCGTCACTCACACGACGAGTTTTTCTGTCTGCTGCTCTGCAATAAAGCAAAATTTTACTTAATCAAATGTTACAGACGAACCCTTAGGTGGGGGTTTTAATTTAAAATCCATTTACAAATAGCAACCCCTCGCCCCCTCACCTAGGGAGCTCCCCCTAGCATTCTCCGAGAACTATAAAATATGAGATGGATATTTTATTTCTGCAGTTTTACCTTCATAAACTTGTCACATAAATTATGACAGCACGTAAACAGTTTTATTTTTTATTGAAAAATTTCATTAATTATTCATTTTCACGTGCTATTTAGTTTTGTCGAGATATTTTAAGTTTATACTTATTATTTTATAATTATTTATAAAGTGTAGTAGTACTTTATACTAAGTCTATGAGTATAACGACGTTGTACTATCTTGATCTACGCATAAAGAGGATTTTATCGCATTAAGGATATTTTTTTCAATAGGTGAAAATAGTGTTTCCGCCTGTGCTATTGGTATACACTGATAGGTACCAATGGAATGATGGATGAAAGATGAGAATGAAACAGGTTAGTTGATCCATGATAGGTAAGAATGAAGCATGCCAGTTGACTCATCATAACGAATCTAAAAATAATTGAACAACGATGTTTTTTAAGGAAAACTACATTGAGATCGAACTGATAGGGTATATTGTTAGCAATAGGACAATTACACATCATTACTAACAATCCCTTTCCCCCAGATTAAGGATTGTGCCTACGAGTAGAGATAGAGAAGAATACTGAATCCATGATTTTTACTAAGACTTTTATAAGTAATTATTAATTCTTATGTGATTTATATTTATATCTTATTATTATGTTATAAGTCGTTTAGTATTAAGTCCGCTTTGTACACATATTTGTACTAACGAATTTTATTTATTACAAGACATTAAATATTTGAATACTCAGTATGAAAACGATGCTGCGTCAGCAAAATTTTGACAGACGGTTTTCTAAATGTTTTGATGCTCTATTTAGATACATATGATATTATATTTTAGGGATTAGTAATATTGTTTCTGCCTATGTGATAAGTCGTTTAGGATTAAGTCCGCCTTGTACACCTAATGAGACAGGCGTGATAGATGTATATGTACGTATGTATGTAATTATAATCGATTAACCAGTGATATGATATGAACTTCTGCAAGATAACAGTTCAATAAAATATCCTCCGTTGTACTTATTCTTTTCTTAAGAAGTATGTAGCCTTTAAAAGATTTTACTGAAGAATAAATTGTTACAAACAAACAAACAAATATAATTAGATATAATGTAAGCAAAATTTCCGTATCCATGAAATTGAAACAATAAAGTTATATTGTTCACGGAAAATTAAAATCTTCGTGGAAAATGAAGATCAATATAAAATCTATAATTAAGAATCTTGTATTCACAATAGATACTTATATATTGTTATCATAGAAATACAGTTAATATTTTTGATATAAATATTCAATTTTGTGTACAATTCCTTCCTAATAAGTGATTTACAACAACGAAACAAACAATCGAAACACATTCTACAACGAAACGCAAAAGCTGCGATTTCATTTCATCTTTAATTGATTTAGTTAGAAACTCTGCGTAAAATAAACAACGGCATTTATGAACAGCGTTACAAATAATCTCTAATGGACGATGAAATTTTAATAATGTTGATTACGGGGCTCACTCTCGGATGGTAATCGAGTTTTACCATACAATTATCATTAACAAGCTGCGCGACTATGACCGTATGGCAATCGAATACTGAATTAAAAAAAAAAACTGAATGTAATTATTTGATTATCTATAACACAAACATTTTTAAGAACTTGTGTATATTAACTGTATACTTCATACATGTGATGGATCAAGCTAACTTAAACTTGTATAACTTGAAGCCCTTCCATACTATTACATACATATATTTTATACTCATACTTGTATTATATCGGGAGGAAAAAGTCGAACCATATTATACCAAACGCAGATAGATCATAAAAAATCTTCATGAAGAAAACTAAATAAAAAACTTGAAAATATAGTAAAAAATATAAAAAAGATCTCCTCCTTTCCTTGCGCACGTAAAATCGATTGGAATATATAACTAAATAATTCGTTTTCAATTTCATTATCATCAGCATTGCCTTGCTTTTTAAGGTTAAATTCATTTCAAAAAAAGACCAACCATATCATTACATTAACAAAAAGAGATTTTTTCGAACCAATTAGTAGTAATAAAAAATACACAAATCCAATAAGATTAATTAGGTTTATTCTCGTTAAACACGGCGTTCGTATCAGATAGTTATGAAAACATAATCTTATTTATGGATTAAGAGTGTTTCCTCATAAAGGGAACTTTCGTTCGTAGACAAGAAGTAGTAAAAAGTATCCTATGCCTAGCTAGATTTTTCTGTTGTTCTTTTCATACGTAATAAAACCCAATAAACAAGTGATAAAACAAGGTTGTCTTGAATAATAACCCTTATAGTACCATATAGTGTCACTATGCTGCAGTCACAAGCTAACGCAACCCCGTTGCGACGAGGGGACCCCAAGATAAATGACGTATATCTGATTACAGAGCGTGGTTGACTGACCACATGCTACTGACAGTGCCAATCATGTATTGTCGTTTTTCTTTTATACTCAATAGTTCAATGACCTTTGTCGAGAAAAAAATATTTGTTCAAGTGTTAATACATTTTCCTTAATCAATATTTGGAAACAATGTCGCCGGAGGAAAGTTTATCAATTTCGAGTATATTTGACCCGTTATATCCAAATTGTATATAACTAATAAAAAAAAATATTTTTTCTAACTATAAAAGGTGAAAATAGAATTATTCTCATGGGTGTGAATTATTAAGAAAATAACTTAAAAGAAGTAACTGTTGAGATTCTTGCGAATTCTTGTCAGGAGATAAGAACTTTCCAAACCCTGCAGTAATCTAATCTAGTATTTGAATAAAAAAGATTTGAATTTGAATTATGGTTGTATTCTACTAGTAAAATTAAAAATATTTTTTTCCAAAGATGAGATATAATGTGTCAAAAAACGACAAAAAGAGATTATAAACTGACCATACGAACTACCGCCAACTGCTATTAGACTGCTTTATAAATATGCAAATAATTTCGGTTACACGTTGAAATTTGTTTAAAAAATATAAACCACATTTTTATATTGCGTTATTAATGATTCAGGGGCAATAAAACTTCATTGTTCTTCTTTATTCATAGAAAATAGGGGATTATCCATAACGTTGGTAATTATTTTGGCAAGCAACACAAGTTTAGTAGTTGCGGACCGGGGGACCTAATAAAATCGGACAGTTGCTGACAAATGTGCTATCACACAGCTATCTCCCCTTTTCGTACACTTCCGTGTGTATGGTACAAGAAATTAAGCAAGATATATAAAGAAAAGACAATAGAAAAAGAGTTATAACGGCAACAAACTAAGGTTCATTATCATGAAACAGAGTTTATTTGATTGGGATGTAGATCGATTAAGAAATTGCATTCAAAATGGATCTTTCATGAAATGAACAAAAGTATTGTAATTGATTTATTCGTTTAGAAGCGCAATGCCTCAAACAGACAAAGGTATCAAAGTTTCAGCCTTACATTCTTACTTGGGTCTTTTATTTCACTCTCGGTTAAGTGTGAAAGTTTCTTTCACATAATGAATAAATAGGGATACGAAATTAAAATGATTAAATTGGTAAATGTAGTTAATTGATAAAAAACCGATCAAGTACGACACGGACTCGCGCATCGAAAGTTCCATACAAATTATAATAAAAAAAATTGAAAAAATTGCTTTTTTTATGTAATTACAAATTTACTTATAAAAAAAAATTATGATCACACTAACTCAATATTAATATAGTTAAACTTTTTGAAAAAGCAACAGATGAGTTTCGTACCCGTTCTTCCTGAATGAAAAAAAAATACTATTCAAAAATATTTACATCTAAGTGAATAAAAATATTTCTCTCTTTCTTTACGATTTTCGGATTTTTCGTTTACTTGTAATATGTGACATTACTTCTTACGAAATTTCATGGTTCTAGGTCAAGGGAAACTACCCTGTAGATTTTAAATCCCCTGCAAATGTCAAAATATATGTTATAAGCGGCTAAATCTTTTGACTTCGTCGACAAAGAAATTTGATTTTTTCACAACTTCAAGGGATTGTAAATTTGAGTTTTTTAAACTAATTTCAGCTTCATTCCTTTACGGGTTCTTGCGAAAAAGGGACTTGACAAATAGGCAGACGGACCACAAAGTGATTCTATAAGGGGCCTGTATTTTTTTTTGAGGCATGGAATCCTAAAAAATATACAAAATTAAGCAAGTATATATAAAGATTATGACAAAAAGATAAACAATGAAAAAAAATCAAGAATTGTGAAAAAAAAAAGATCATAACTTTAACCGTGACAAAATTCGACTTAATCGTTTGCAGAAAAAAATATTAATATTAGTTAGTCAGTTCATAATTGACCTTAGCTCTTTACATATACATTTAAAAAAATTAAGCCAAATTGTAGCTTTTACTAGTTACTTAAAAATACACTCTGCATTTAAAATAAAAATCTTAAAATATATTTGTAAGGGAATCAGATTAATTAGATGTAAATATAAGTATCTTAATTCTTATGCTTAAACAATAGTAAAACATTATATATTCTGTGGCACAACGTAATATACGACATAGATAACATCACGTGCTCTACACATAATTAATAGCACTGTGTAGCGGGTTGAAAATTAAGGTGAAATCTTCTTTGAGACGCACTGACCTGGTAAACTTCAATATATTCACCGAATTGCATTCCAAAAACATTCTTGTTAATAACAGATAATGTTCTAAATCGCTTCTGCTTCTAACACGTACGTGAGAGTAAGTCGAGATGAATCACATAATCGATCTGTGTACAGACGATGGCTTGTTAAACAAACTTCGTGCGTAAATTAACCTAATCTCGTTAAGTTTTAACGACCGACGCCAG